TGTCGAAAACAGAATTTGTCTCCTCCGCCATATAAATGTGCCTTAAATTCCACAGTGTGTAACAAACCACAAATTGCATCACAGCTTAGATCACATTTCATGGATTTGTGCATCCCAGACTAGATCATGCTGAACAGCACGGTGCGCTCTTGCTATCATTGTACTGTTACTAGATTATATCATCCACAGCTAATTAGTGCCAGTGGCAATACCACATCTCACTATATTTATCTTAATAACATATGTCACGAGCTCAGATTTGCAGTAGAAATACTAATTCATAGATGAGTGTTTTAAAATAAAGCATTTATACAAATCTGACATTTGACGCACATATATATAAACCCAGATAAAATTCTCTTTTAAATGTGAATTAATAATACACTTGACCAAATCGAATGTTTATTCAAGTAGCAGAGTTATGCATAGACTATTAAAACAGTCATTAGCAATATCTGTAATTGTATTGCTATATATTTTTCTATACATATCAGGAAAATTCAATTATAAATGCGTGACATCTTACAAAATAATCAAACATTGCCTCAAATTTATGAATTTTCATTTTAAATCAGGAAGCCTTTTTCAGGCGTGGTTTCAAGATGGGGTAGCTAAATGTTACACGTGTCTGCTTTACAAATAAATACAAATCCTCGACTCTTTTTTTATTTTTGAGGATCGTAACCAAACCAATTGTGATACTTAGCGGTCTCATTATCGGACGTTCCGGTGTTAAATTCCAATGCACGTGAGTGGCACGCTCCTCGAAGTAGCCATGTGCACAGATATTTATAGACCGTGACATTTTCTGCTTCACGTAAACATAAGGCTCTTGGCTCTCTCCTGCACGGCCTTTCAGCCGGGAGCTTTGCACACTATCCTGCTGCATGCATTAAACCTCAGCGCTGCGACACAGCAAAGTGTTATCGTGCAAAGCACTCAAAAGCGGCATTTTCACCCATTGCCGAGACAAATATATGTTTAACCTTAAAAATAAACATAAAATCAAAGGTACTGTATATTGTTCCGTTAAAAAGAGAATTTGAATTGCCATTCAGCAGTCACAATCTGGGCACCAATTACATGAAAAATATGTTTCCTGATATATCTTGTGTATTTATATATTCAATAATTTAGAGATAAAATCAAGACTGTAAATATCATATCATACATATAGATGATTGTGACCGACTGTGTGGGTGAATTTGTTCTATAACATAAAGAAAGCTTAATTTTCGTTCCAGTACTAGCAAGTGAATATTAAGATAATAGTTTTACAACTGCATGTTTTGAATAACAAAACATCTCTGCTACCTTGTACCTCGTGTCTGTTCACGAGTCCTTGTCCTCTGTTTACGTTGGTATGTTCAGCCCAGAAGATGAACACTAAATTTAGCAGTCTTTTGAAATACGTGGTCAACCAGGTTAGTGTCTAACCGTTTTGTTGGCCGACTGGTTTGCATCACATTATGTTTATAAGATTTGTTGAGTTCGCGTCTCCCATCTTCTTGCTGTATTTGCCTCCGTGCAGTTTTCCGTCCTCTGTGTGTTCTGTGTGTGATGTCCCTCTGTGTGTTCCCTCGCTATGTGTTTTTCCCCATTTCCACCTGATGATGAGCGCTTGTGTTGAGTTCGAAACGTCGTGATTTATTTAAATTGTATTTGTGATTTATTTAAATTGTATTTTATTCCTACATACGTGACTTTACCGAAAGAACCAATGAGTATAGTAATTTCTGCAGTCACGAAAGCTTCAATTCTGGATTAACAAAACATCTTTTGGTAAATAAAGTATCGGGAAATGTCATTGCATACCTAATGAGGTAACCGGTGTATAATTGTATCACGAAACTATAACAGTCTGCCTTAAGAAAATAAGAGGCATTTTAATGTTACACCGCACGTGTAACACAATAATATTATGCCACAATTCATTCAAATTCCATTGTGGCAAGCAAAACATTGATAACAGCCTAAACCTGTAAAGCCGCAGCAATGTATATTAAAATGTTTTCGTATTTATATACACGGCTTCCAAGTATTCCCAGCCACAGTTCTCATATACATTAAGTCTTCAACTCTTATTCCCTGTATGTCTCTGGCTTCTATATTTATATGATACTAGTTCATGAAGTTTGCCTTCGCCAGGCAAACATTTTCATTAAATGATAATGAACCTATGATTTTTTTTACAATTTTAATCTACAATCAGACACTAGCAACTACTTCAAAACTGTGTATCTTCCACAAAACTTCTTACATTTAAAGTCGTACCCATCGGAAACCGTTCAATTTAAAGCTGCCGTTCTTTTTTTATTGGAAATAACACAAATAAATGAACTAAATACTCTATGAGGGGAAGCGCCTATCTTTTACCGTTTTCGAATAATTCCGATTTGAACATGATACAATGTGTATTTCTTCGTTCGAAACCGCTTGAATTCAAAATATCTAAAAAAAAAGAAATAAAATGGTTCTCGCCTTGTGCAATGAGACAACTTCCGAGACGTGACTTGTAGAGGGTTTCTTATTTATTTCTTAATACTTTAACGACAGGCGACGTACAATTATATAGCTGGCTGACTATATAGTGACGACGGTGATGAAGACTGTGTAGCTGGCTGGCTTTGCAGCAATGACGACGAAGAGATGGCAGTGACGATAAGCCAGGACCCAAACCCCCACGACAGCCCCGAACCCCCTCGTTTGCCTCTCCTTTATATTCACCCAGCGTGTCCAAGCCCCGCCCTTGGCCACGCCCCTCTCCTGGAACTCTCTCGCGGGTTCAAGGAGCTTCCAGTTCGATCCCCTCTTTGACCCTTGACCCAGTTACGCCCCCCCCCTTGTGGTCGCTTGCATACGTGTCGTTCTACACTGCACCCATACCCGTAGTTAGCCCCCATGGCCACCAGATGGCATACTGTCATTACAATCTTATATTTTGAACTGTTTCTGCATGACACGCGCAAACATGTTTATGGGGCACTTAAAATCGAGATTAGGATTTTCAGATGAATGTTCCTGTTGTTTGTGTCATAAAAGCTACCTATGTACCAAATTTCAGCTTTCTACCTCGTTGGGAAGTACCCAAGAGGTTTTTGAGACATATAGATTAAGGTCTTTATTTATTTAGATAGATGAAGAAGGGCCATTGTGGCAGAAACACCACCTATTTTATGTTTTTCATTTAATTAATGAATGTCTTGAGTTTTTTTAATAAGTTTATTATTTTTGTTGATGAAAAACTACATACAGTATTTCAGCCCAGATAAGCATCCAACTTCATGGCAACTGGTAAAACTTCATATTTCTATCACTATATTAACATGAAATTTCAATGCTCTACACAAGCTGTTAGGTTGCATGCCTAATACTAGTATTCCGTCTATAAAAACCATCGAAGGATTACCACAGTATCTTTGATATAAGCAAACAGCTTTCATGTGGGAGTTTGGTAGGGCATAGATTTATTTTTACACAAGCCAGATAAATGACATGATATTTGATGTTGATCTCAAACTGATGAGCTACTTTTCTCCCCATAGTAGTAAATTAACACCTTTTTGATTGCAGATAGTGCAATGATTAATTTTAATTAGGAAATGTTTTATTCATTGATGGGAACTGTTTTTTTTTACTTGTGTTAAGTTTCACATATTCAAGCCTACAACTTGCCACTTTAATTGTGTTTAAATGTCATATCATTAGCGATTTGTAAGTGTTAAAATATACACTCCACAAGCATTTTTCTTATGCTATTTGATGATGTGCCTCACACTCCATTTCGTTCCACTTTACAGTTCCGTCCTGTCGCAAGGAAATTTCAAATACTTGTCAACCTATTCCAAAGTGGCAAACTAAAAACTGAATACCATGACCAACATGAACTCATAGGCCTCTATTTAAACTATCCATATGTAGGCTGTGCAGAATGGAATGTCCCGTTTTAGTGAAATTACCTGCCTTGCAGCCAATGGCTGAAATTAATTAGAATCCCTTCCTAATTACACACAATACAAATGTAAAATAATAAATTCCATATACATCTAAGCACTAATATTCATTAAATACTTGTAAAAAAACATGCATTTCAAATTACAAAACAACATTTCATGTCAAAATAATTTAACCTAAGCTAATATGTAATCTCACGCATCGTTTACCCATTCTCCGCATACTGATTTTCAAGATTCCAAAATATTGATTTGAAGCTTTCGTGACTGCAGGAATCCATACTCTTTGGTTCTTTAAGGTAAAGTCACGTAGGTAGAAAATTGATAGATCACGTGACGTTTCGATCGCAACACAAGCAACCGTCATCAGGTGAGACAAACACAGCAGTTCTCATGCTGTGTTTGTCTCACCTAATGACGGTTGCACAGCAGTTCTCCTGCTGTGTTTGTCTCACCTGATGACGGTTGCTTGTGTTGCGATCGAAACGTCGTGATCTATTAATTTTTCTACCTGTGCGACTTTACCGAAAGAACCGAAGAGGATTACAAAATGTGTGAAGAGCACACAGCCTTTGTGCATGTGCAAAAAAAAACCCATCAGCATTTCCTGAAAAAGAACATTGTGGTCCTCTTGTCTTAGGCCATCATCAAACTAAGTTTGAGCAGATGCGACCAAGTGACAGCAGTGATGCAGTGATAGACAACTGTGGGTCGGTTCATAATTGGATGAAACTGGTTCACAGTTGCCTATCATTGCTGTCAATCGGTCACGTCTGCTCAAATGTATTTTATGTTGACCTAATATGAGACAATAAGAATGCACTTTTTCAGGAAATGCTGATGCGTTTTTTTTTGCATATGCACAACGACTGCGTGCATTTTGATACATTTTTGTGCCCGGTTTGAAACTTATGATGTTCCAGCTTGCACTACTATTCTGTAATGATTTCTCATCATTTACAGATATGATCTGACTTTGCATGCCTGAAAGTACTGCAAGTTAATGATGGCCTTGGCGTCTGCTCAGAACCAGGTTGGAAAACTTACCTTGAATGTGTTTCCTGTCTCGTCAAACTCAGGAGGTATGAAGGCCCCTTCTGGGTCATCTGTCATTGGAGAGAAAATAGTGCATTTTTAATTCCATTCATAATACTCACAGAACAACAAAGGCACATGAGTGTACTCGTACTTAAATAAACTATTTGCACATGATGCATAAAAAATATTTAAAATACGATTTATTTGTTTTCTATCATGATGCTGGTATTAGTTTACGTTTGAAATCTGGATGCTAATAACCACATTGAAGTTAAAAGGATCTACAATTAAACTCTTGCACCTCTTTCCTGAGCATAAACATATATATTTATATATTTTGGTTGAATACATTAATATCACAGCTTTGAAAAACAAATCTTAAAAATCACTTTACTTTGTTTGCAGACTTTGTGATATTGCAAACCTAATTCATGCAGTTCTGTACAATTTAAAACAATATTAATACAAGCACCAATCGATACGCCATTACTTTACAGGGCACGTTAAATTAGCTTACAATAGATGTCTCGTGTCATCTGTAGCAAAGAATAGCATTGGTGACAAGCGTACGCAATATTTGCATTTTGATTTAGAGATCAAATACGTTCTACAAGTCCTTTTGCACACGGCTCATGAAGCTGGAGGCCAAGGTTACAGCAATGCCAGCTGTATATAAAAAAACAAAAAAAAAACATGTATTTGCAAAAGCTACTTCGGGGATGTTTGGCTCTTAAGCAAATTATCCTGCCAGGTTGCTCATCCAATTTCTATAACCCTTTGAACCTCTCGGCCCCTTCCCAGCTGCCTTCGTCTCGTTTCTCACCACCTTACCCAAACCTGTCTGTTTATTTGCCTTCACTCTGCGTCCCCTGCTATTTCGCTGCACATAAGATTCATCAGCCTAATTTTCACAGTGCAGATAATGCACAATTACATGGTTTCGTACCTCGGTGAACTTGAAAACCGAATGTGACTAGAGCTGTAATGGTGTTGAAAATTATATGTTATTACAAATTCTGGCTAGGTTTGTTTGCAAAAGTGTTGTATCTATAATGCAGTTTAAACTAATGGTGTAACATATTAAATGTATACCGCATATAAATCAGAAGTATGAATGAAAGGGAATAATTTTACTTTCTTAACACTGGCCTCAGATGTTCAGGCCTAGGTGTGTTGACACTTTTATACTAATCAATAAATCATATTTTTTAATCAGTAATCGGTTCAATTGTAGTGAAAGAGGGTAAAGAGCATTCCATTGAGGGAGCCCGCATTTCAATAGCAAGACTCAGACATCAAGTGCTCAGCAAACCACTATTACGATGCTTCCTCTACTGTTCTCTAGTAATCTAGCACCAGTCATTTATACGAACAAATGTTGTATACTCGTTGGTTCTTTCGGTAAAGTCACGTAGGCATAAGATAGAAATAAATCACGACGTTTCGATCGCAACACAAGCGGTCGTCCTCAGGCGGGAAAAAATATAATCCAGCAGTGGAACTGCTGAACTAGCGAGAGAGCAGCTACAGTTAATGTTGTATTGTTAATTGCCCACGAATCGGCAGTGACGTCACCACAGTGCCTGTGCCATATGAAGTGTCTAAAGTTTACTATCAGGTCACAGAGGAGATGCAGATGTTATGGTCAAATGATTGAGGTGACTAACAGATGCAATGCCAGCATGCTATATGGTGCCCACCAACTGTTGTGTAGCTGTCTGATATTCTGCTCATTGTTGTGAACATTGCGTCCATTGCTGCTGGAGGGCAGCTGCCACCAACTACTCAACAGCATCTTTCACAAGCGTCATCCACAGTGGATACTCTTCACACAACCAGTACCAGCTTCCGATAAGCCTAATCAACTCCAAGTGCTCTTGTACCACATCAGTCCACGTTTTCTCTAGCCAATGCCATGCCTGTTTATTTCACTCTATCCAGCCAAACCGAAGCCGCTTGGGTAGGGGGTGGCTGGGCATGCAGGTGACATGGTCCAGCAAATGCATCCTTGCCCACGGGGGAAGTCCACTAATGGGACCCTGTTGAGATCTTTCAAGAATCTGTGAGATCTTTATACAACCCAGCCGCATACACCCAGGGTGGATCATGGGCAGGCCAGCTTAAATGTTTTAAGCCAATCCACGTACAGGGTCCACTTTTCACAAATATAGCTGAGAAGATGCACAGATTCATGTGAAAACAACAGGAGAAGCAGCTTCGACACAGCATTACACAGCCACAATTCACCACAAATTCCAAAGTGTTCATTTCACACACACTAATTAAAATACTAATTTTTTGCATGATTCTTGAATCATAACCAACCAAAAAAGCTGCCTTTTAAAATAAGTGTAGCGAGTTGATGATCTAAGCCCAGTCACCAACAAACATTATATTAAAACATCGGTTTCTGCATTTAATTAAGCTAAATTCCAGCTGTGAGATATAAAAAAAAATATATCATGCGGCAATCTCATGTCCAAATATGTGCAAAAATGCACCCCCTACTGTGCAAAGGACAACGATGACCCCAATTATCTCGGTTATTTCACGGAGAAATTCCGCGATATAATCTCTCCCCGCAGCTGTCATCTGATACGCGCGGTGCACCAGTGCTCTGCAAGATTTTTCAATGGATTTGTTCCTGTCATGACAAGATGTCAATACGATAATTGAAGTAAATTGGAGGGAATAAGACAGATTTAAAAAATATATATATGAAAAAAATATATAATTGTACTGTAGCATATAAGTTGAGCTTTTACATACGACTCAAATTAGGTTGGTTAGAACTTCCTTTTATATAATCTAGCTCTCACAACTTTCCTGACTGCGCGCTCTATAGCACATTTAATTACACACACTACGCATAGATGTTCTGTAATTGGAATTGGCATTAAGGACTGTTGAATCAATTTCACTGCCCTGTTTCATTACACACTGATTAAGCCTGACACTAGGCTGGGTGCTGCTTAAGGTACAACCTTTGACTCATTATCAGTCTTCTTTGAGACAAGCACTATCCTCAAAAATTGATCAATGCTTCTCACTCTGGGAAATAAGAACATTATGATCTGAATCTACAAGATGGGAATGTAATGCTATTTTATATCGTGCATCAATGTAAACATATGGAAACATGGTTCAGCAACTGCATGGCACAAATTCTTCATATTTTGACAATTACCAAGCTCTTGTTTCAGCATGGAGATAACATACCATGAATTCTGGAATTTGCATGATAATGTAATAACTGTCAGCATAATAGATCACTAACAACAGCATCAGCAATTCATACATAGTAAGGTTTCTGACCTATCTGTGCATTTTTATCATCATGTTATTCTTGATCAGCGATTTATGCATATTTTTTAAACAAAATAAATGCATTTTATGTTTATAAAAAAAACTACTCCCTGTACCACCACACCCTAGTCAAGTAATAGTCGCACAGTTGGGAGTTTTGTGCGCTCGATGATAAATGCATTTGTTACTTCTTATTTGATGTTCTTATTGTAATGGGATTGGAATAAAGCCGATAGAGTACAAGCATGTAGGACAAATTGTGCCCCAATAAGATAAGAATCACATGGTTATATGAATCCCCTTCAGCAGATGCGAGTTACCCTGTGGGATAACAAGCCTGAGGCAGTGCTACCAATGGTACTGCTTCTAAAATGAACTCTGCCGAGGCTTGACCCATTTTATATCTCATTCAATGCCAAGTGTGAAATGAACCCAACTTTAAATGGTGTTCCACTTTTTGTATGCATTAGCTCCCATCAGTAGCTTGGTTAACTCGCAAGGGGTAATAGGTACAGTGAGGGAAAAAGTATTTGATCCCCTGCTGATTTTGTACGTTTGCCCACTGACAAAGAAATTATCAGTCTATAATTTTAATGATAGGCTTATTTGAACAGTGAGAGACAGAATAACAACAACAAAAAATCCAGAAAAACGCATGTCAAAAATGTTATAAATTGATTTTAATTTTAATGAGGGAAATAAGTATTTGACCCCTCTGCAAAAGATGACTTAGTACTTGGTGGCAAAACCCTTGTTGGCAATCACAGAGGTCAGACGTTTCTTGTAGTTGGCCACCAGGTTTGGACACATCTCAGGAGGGTTTTGTCCCACTCCTCTTTACAGATCTTCTCCAAGTCATTAAGGTTTCGAGGCTGACGTTTGGCAACTCGAACGTTCAGCTCCCTCCACAGATTTTCTATGGGATTAAGGTCTGGAGACTGGCTAGGCCACTCCAGGACCTTAATGTGCTTCTTCTTGAGCCACTCCTTTGTTGCTTTGGCCGTGTGTTTTGGGTCATTGTCATGCTGGAATACCCATCCACGGGCCATTTTCAATGCCCTGGCTGAGGGAAGGAGGTTCTCACCCAAGATTTGACGGTACATGGCCCCGTCCATCGTCCCTTTGATGCGGTGAAGTTGCCCTGTCCCCTTAGCAGAAAAACACCCCGAAAGCATGTTTCCACCTCCATGTTTGACGGTGGGGATGGTGTTCTTGGGGTCATAGGCAGCATTCCTCCTCCTCCAAACACGGCGAGTTGAGTTGATGCCAAAGACCTCCATTTTGGTCTCATCTGACCACAACAATTTCACCCAGTTGTCCTCTGAATCATTCAGATGTTCATTGGCAAACTTCAGACGGGCATGTATATGTGCTTTCTTGAGCAGGGGGACCTTGGGGGCGCTGCAGGATTTCAGTCCTTCACGGCGTAGTGTGTTACCAATTGTTTTCTTGGTGACTATGGTCCCAGCTACCTTGAGATCATTGACAAGATCCTCCCGTGTAGTTCTGGGCTGATTCCTCACCGTTCTCATGATCATTGCAACTCCACGAGGTGAGATCTTGCATGGAGCCCCAGGCCGAGGGAGATTGACAGTTCTTTTGTGTTTCTTCCATTTGCGAATAATCACACCAACTGTTCTCACCTTCTCACCAAGCTGCTTGGCAATGGTCTTGTAGCCCATTCCAGCCTTGTGTAGTTCTACAATCTTGTCCCTGCCATCCTTAGAGAGCTCTTTGGTCTTGGTCGTGGTGGAGAGTTTGG